AACCTCAGACTCAAGTGATCCTCCTGCCTTGGCCTCCCCAGTAGCTGGGACCAACTAATATTTTTAACTGGGGTCTCACTCTTGCTCGGGCTGGTCTTGAACTATGGAGTGAGCTCAAGTGATCTTCCTGCCTTGGTCTCCCATAGTGCTAGGATTACAGGCATGAGCCGCTGCACTCCGCCCATCCTCATTTATTTTGAGGCCTTATTTTGCCTTATGTTTGTGAATCAAACCTTAAGACTTTTTGTGTCTTCAGACAATAGACTCTGAGAGGGGAGAGATGGCATCTTATTCTATTAGGTCCCCTCTGACTTTCCGTAAATATTGGTGATTGAATGTCATCTTGAAACCCAGCTCCTTCAAGGCCACACAGAAAACTAGTGGGAAAGGAAGTGAACTGGAGGCTGGGATCAGAGTTGGGAAGGAGGCTTTCTCTACACTCAAAAACCTTCAGTCCCTTTTTTTTTTTGAGACAAAGTCTTACTCTGTCGCCCTGGGTAGAGTACAGTGGTGTCATCATAGCTCATTGCAACCTGAAACTCCTGGGCTCAAACAATCCTCCTGCCTCGGCCTCCCCAGTAGCTGGGACTACAGGCATAGTCCTGGCTAGTTTTTTCTATTTTTGGTAGAGATGGGGGTCTTGCTCTTGTCCAGGCTGGTCTTGAACTCCTGACTTCAAGTGATCCTCTTGCCTCAGCCTCCCAGAGTGCTAGGATTACAGCCTTGAGCCACAATACCTGACCCTTCAGTTACTTTTGATTTGTATTCCATGTATGTCAATTTTTTAAAAGAAAAATATTTAAAAAATGAAAATCTAAAAACCCAATCAATCCAACCTCTTCTCTCCCCGACTCTGAGTGGCTTTGTGGTAAAAAAATAAAACTTGCCATTTAAAATCATGGGGTCCAAGGGAAAGGTTAGTGGAATTCAAGTCAGGCAATCAGTCTTTTAGTTCCAAATCTACCTGCTGTGTAACTTGTCAGCTAGTCACAGACTTTCTGTTTCTCCAGCGTAAAGCCCTTACCATGGCCTAGGAGACACCACTCGATCTGCCCTCCTGCTATCTTTCCATCTGATTTTCTATCAACTGCCCTGTGATTTATTCCACCCTAACCCACTAATCTCCTTACTGTCCCTGTACATGTGCTGTCAAAAGACAAAATTACAAAAAATTTAGTTTAAAGATCTAATTGGCTTTCATTTGCAATTCTAGAATCTGTAAAATAGAATGAGTGTTCCAATGGGCTGAGTAGAGGAGGTTGGCTTTATAGGCAGAGAAGGGTTGAAGAAAGCAGAAATAGGGAACAAAAGGCAGATGGTAGTTTCAAAGTTACTTACTTTAAAGGGTTAAAACAGAGGGACTTCCTTGTTATGCCAGCTCAGGTAAACTAGGCCCCTTCTGATTGGTTGCTGTGAATCTCCTATTTTTGGAAAACTGGCCTATTTCAGAATTCGGTTTGATAATGTCACTTAGCACAAGTGACTTCATTCTAGTTTAGTCTGCCCTCCTGGGGCCTAGTGCAGAAGGTTAGTCCAAAGCAATGGCCTCCCATAAACTTTGTTTAACAGTGCCACATGAGTCTCATCTCAGGTCCTTTGTACTTGCTGTTCCCCTTTTCTGAAACACTCTTTCCTTTGATATCCCTAAAATATCCTTATGGTTCATTCCTTACTTTCTTCGTAGTACTTATCTGCCAATTGTAATTATTTTATTTACTTATGTTTGGTCTGGCTCATCAGTTTGGTGAAGGAAGGAACCATGTCTGTCTCTTTTACCATCACATTCCCAGTGCCTGGCATAGAGGCAAGGCCTAATATATGCATCTCTTGAATTAATTGGAATGTTAGGATATTCTTTCTTTATCTATTTGTATAAATCTGAGAGAAGGGATGGTGGTTTCAACTTCATCTCTGACAAAGTATTTGTTTGTCATGAATGCTAAACATATAATGGTACCTGATTTTCTTGTATTAATATATTTTGACTTAGGCTCTATGCTTCATGAAGCAAACATATTAATGTTTCTTTTAGTATAGCTCAGAACAATCTTTCAGCATCTTTTCAATCTTACAACTTCCCCGTGTCTGT